TCAGCGTCTGAATGGGGGCCAGGGTGGATCTTAAATACAATAAAATCACTTTGGGTGGCCAGAGGAGGGGGCTAGGAAAAGTGTCTAAGGATTCTAATTGGGGAGGTCTAAATAAACAGTGGGAATAGCTAATGGGGGGAACGGGAAGGCATTTGTCAAAGGGAGATAAGGGGAGTCAATAAGGAACCTGAAAGTTTAAGTGTTTTATGGGGCCTGTAATGGAAGGAGCTGGAAGGCATCTTAGTAAGGTCAAAAGGTGTAGGCTAAGGCTTCCAAAGGGAGATAAGGAGCTGGGGTCTGTAGACAAATGGGAGCCAGATTCCCTTTGGGGTAAAGGTGTTGGGGGGGGGAGATCTGAGTTCACCCCATCATTGGCAGCTGAGATATGGTGGTTAAATCCTGAGAATGACAGATAGCAGGTCTGGGTCTTTCCTCAAAATAGAGATTCTGAGAAGAACTTACCAGTGAGAGAAAGGGCATACTACTAATGAAGTTGTTAACTAATGAAGGGAGCTAGGCAGCAAAGAATGATTGTTAGACTTTAAATGGGGAAGACCTGAGTTCAGGTGCCTCAGACACTTATTTAGCAAGTCACTGACCTCTCTCCATCTGCTTCCCCATCTGTAAAATGAGGATAATATTAGAACCTACTTCAAAGGTTTATTGTGAGGACAAAGTAACATAAATTTGTAAAGCTCTTTGCAAACCTCATAGCACTGTATTAGCTACTAATGAAAACACGTTGATTAAAACTTGATTAATCATGAAGGCTGCTGATGATCACTACTTCCTTCTGTAGATGCATACTTGCCATCCTTTCAATACATTGTAGAATTTTGCTAGGAACTGAAGTCAAGCTCACCACCCTACTCCACAGACTCTACTCTCTTCCCTTTTTTAAAAAATCAGGAAAACACCTGCTTTTTTTTCTGATCACGTGGCTCCTCTCCCAGCTTTCATAATCTTTCAAAGATCACTGACAATGATTTAGCGGTCATATTCATCAGTGATTTGGGGAGGTTTTGTGGTATGTGAGCTCATGTCTCCCTTAGACTATGAGCATTAGAGTTAAGTTATTCCTTGTTTCACTGACCTTTGAAACACCATCCTCCAGGAAAATAAGGGATCTTAATAATTCTCTACTTTTATTCCAAGTTTCAAATTTTTAAATAAAAGTTTATTTGTCCAAGAAATTCTAAATTATGTGTATGTGTGCAAAAGATCATAAGAGCATAGAAGCCAAACTCAAATAGACCCTTGAGATCATCCAGTCCAACCCCTTAATTTTTTGGATGGTGAAACTGAAGCCTAGAGAAGGTAAGTGACATGCTGAGTCTCACAGGTGGTCAAGTAGAGACCTTGAACTCAAACTAAGGTCTTCAGGCTCCAAATCCAGTATGGATTCCACCACATCATACAACTTGGGTTTAGATATATGCTGTGGAGTCCTGGAAGTATTAAATAATTTACCAGTTACAGCTGAAACTTCCTGCAATATGCCAAATTGCCTGATATATCCTTATTCTTTGATAGATTAGGGCTGCCCCACCCCAAAGTACTTGAGAGTTAAAATTGATAACCAGCAGTTACTTGGTTGTTCTGGATCATCACTCTTAGAATCCCTTCCCTCTGAAGCTATGATTCCAGGAGCCTCCTCACTGCTCTCAGATGCAGTATTTTGGTTTGGTTAGGCCACAGTATAGTGTGGGAACCAACAAACAAACTCAATGAAAGCCTTTAGGAATGAAAGGGGTTTTTTTAAAGCTAAAAAATTAACTATCAGAATTAAGGTTCATGACAGAATTTTTAAGTAGAAGGACTCTTAAGTTCCATTCTACATTTTCACATACTCTCTCATTTTGAAGAGAAAAATGTTGTCTGCTTCAGTGGACTAACATGCCTATCTTGACCATAAACCTTTTGAAGTCATAAATACTTTCTAATTTTGCATCAGTGTCTTGCTCAGAGTAGATGAACAATAAATAATTTAATGAAGAATGGATTTTCAGAGGACTGCTGCTGCTGAAAATTTTTAAAGTCATGTTTCGTTTTCTTAACTACAGGCATAAACGATATCATCTCTTGCCATTTACCATATAAAGTAGATGAAATTAGTGGTTCAACACAGATCCTCAACCTTCTTTATAACTATAACATCAAATAACTGATTCTCATAATGATGGTCATGAGGCACAAGATCCTGAACTGTTTTACATATTATCGATGAAAGATGAAATGTTTAGCATGGTTTTAATGCTGCATATTTTATTTTATTGTATTGAAACTACTAACAAGTAGTAATCTATTGATAGAATAAACTCTTAACTATACTGCATAATTCAATTAATAAGAATATCCAATTTCTTTAAAATTACAGTGATACTAAGGCCCTGTATGGCCAAAGAAAATACAAATGGTATAAATCATCAAAGGGTCCTACATTACCTAAAATGAGGGGCTTAAATCACATAGAATCTAATTATTTAGGATCAGTATCTTTTAAAAATCTTATTCAATATAATAAATACTATGCCTACAAAGAAAATAGTAATTTAATTCACAGATATTTTGAAATGGATAAGACTAATTTTTTCTAGTTTTACATATATAAAATATATATGTATGTATGCATGTACATATGAACATATATATATACACATATGAAAGTATAATCAAAGACATCTAAGAATATTACCTGCCAATTGTTGATAACTTTCAAATTAAACATATAACTCTGTACTAAGAAATTGAGTAGCAGCTAGATAGAGTAATGAATAAAATGCTGGACTTGGGCATCAGGAAGACCTGGATTTGAGTCTCATCTCAGAAACTAATAGCTATATGACACTGGCCAAATTACTTAACCTCTCTTCTTTGTACCTCAATTTCCTCATCTGTAAAATGAGAACTGATAGCATCTAAGGTTCCTTCCAAATCTAAATCTATGATCCAGTGAGGAAAACTTTTTTAACAGCTATTCAATTACACAGAAATTAAGTGGGTTTTTTTAAAAGCCATAATGTAAGTACTTTGGTTTCAGAGTTGTAATTAAAGATGTAGTATGCATATTATGTTGCATAGTACTTAAGAAAGACAAAGCAAAAAATTAAACACAGCACATATGGTGAGCATAGAACAACAGTGAATTTTAAGTAATTTGTGTCTTTCATAACATAGAACTCTATGGCGCATCAATAATCTAAAAGATTATAGAAAAGCATCAATTATAACCTAAATTTTATGATACAATATGTATAAATAACTGAATCATTCTTGTCCAAGTAACTATGTTACATTAAAGACCAAAGAGGCAAGAAGCATTATTTCATATTCTAACAAAATGTATTTATAAAACATTTGCTTTAAAATTTTAATAATCCATCAACAATAGGCCATATAATAATAATGAGCAACTATACATCACATTATTCTTCTCCTGACAGGGAGTATAATATTATAAAAAAGTACATATTACAAATATATAGAAATTATATACACATAGTAAAATATGGCTCTTTATTGACTGGATTTAGATCAAATCATCTCTTGAAATATAAATAGAGTAAACTTTGATAACACAATTATCTTTAAAATTCTAGTATTAGACCCATTTCCTCATTATGAGCTGAAGTAGCAAGGCAACCTGAGTGAGAAACAGGAGGTGGCAGGTCTCCGGCAAATCAAACCACAGCCACTATCTTGACCAATATCTCCCCTTAGACTCCAAAGGAGATAGCTCAAGACTCTAATTCCAAAAGCCTCTATCTGTGTGACCCTGGGCAAGTCACTTAACCCTATGAGTGCCTAGCATAAAAACAACAACAACACAAAAGCCCTGGCAAGGGCCACTGCCCTTACTTCCTTCAGATCATCAATCCTGCCTCTATCTCATCTCCAAAAGCCATCATACAAGGACTCATAAACTTTATGGAAATGCAACCTTACAATTGCTTCTGTAGGTCCTGTAGCCCTGTCTCCTCAGCAACCATTTTGGGGGGGGGCATATGTCAATTGAGTACCACTAGATTTGGCTTTGAAAACTAAACCTGTATTGGACCTCCAACAGAGCACACTGATCCACATCATAACTCTCTAGGACATACAGTGTCAACTCCTAGTCATAACAGCCACCTCACTGGGTGCAAATACAAGCAACCTTATATTTCAATCACATATGCTAACAATGTCATTTCAAAATGTATGCTTTGTCTAAAGTTCTTCCTGGAACATCCTAATTTATAGGATGGGAAGTATACATCTTTCAATTCCATGAATTTTTACACAAGTTAATAATAACAAAGAAAATCAATACACAACAGCAAGCAACCGGTCAAGCAGAGGCAGTGAAAGTAGGTGATTAAGAATATTAACAATTCACTGATGATAGGCCCCATGACTTCAGCAAAAAAAAAAACAAAACCTGAAGGTGAAAGTCTACACTATCACGTGACTTTGGTAACTGATTGACTGAAAATAAGACTATATAACCTATCAAAATGTTTGTCTCTAAGTATATAAAGCTTCATGTAAACAACATGGGGACGCACCCTGAATTGAATGTAATGGAAATGTTGATATTAAGGTATAGTATTTTGTTCAATACTGCCTTTTAAAAAGATGCATTCAGGGACAAAGTTAAATTTCTTTTAAATATGAAATAAAAAGGAATATTAACATTGTCAAAGTATTCTTCAAACTGTTTCAGTAATAACTTAATTTTCTCATCTTTAAGCAATTCTGCCATCTAAAGTATTGCCTTTTCATCTTGCTTGTATAGAAAACTATGCTCAATTTTTTAAAAGGACACAATAACTTAAGGAAAATTATTCCACATGAGACACATAAATTGCAAAGCACATGCAAAAAAAGAAAGAAAAATTTAAATATCTCATCCCTCAAATTTATAAGCATTCTCCTAATCACTGAAATGCAATGATAATATAGTTTCAGTCCAACATAAATACACAAAAATGCATAAAAGTAGAAGTGATCCTTCTTACCATGCCATACTGCTGCATGTCCATCCCATACTGTTGCTACAGTTTTCCTTGCACCGTCCCATAAATTATGGGAATATGCTTCCTTTAGTACATTCTTCCTCTTGTAAATATGTAAGAAAATAATAGTAAGGTAAAGAAGAAAAATGGTAAAGTAAGGAAGTATCAAGACTATTAGAGGAGTAAATACCCACAGAAGATAGTTAATAAAATTCAAATAATCCTCTAACTGTTGTACATCAATCCATCCTTCCAAAATGTGAAGCAGACAAATAATGTAGGGCATAGAATCCTGCCCTTCAGAACAAGTTTGATTTTTCTCTATCATTTTTCTCTAAGTAAAAATGATAAAGTCACTCTCTTCATAGTCACAGCAGTTTATGATTCTTGTACCTAAAAAGAAAAGAGGAGAAAAGTTTTATTTTTTTTTACAAGTGAAAGACTCAATGATTTAGTCTCCTTAAGCACTAATCAAATAGTTTTACTTTCTTAGTGAGTATCAGGGCTAATGAAAGTAGAACTGATGGTAGACCATGTTAAAGACTTAGTATATGCCACTCTCCTACTCAAGAAGTTCCAGTGGTTCACTATTAGCTCTAGGATAAAATACAAACTCAAATTCCACTGTTTGATTTTTAAAGCTCTTTATAATCTGCCCATAACCAAAATTTTCCAGGCCTTTTGAACTTTATTCACCTTCACAAAATCAATCAACAGATCAACAAGCACTCATGAAGTGCCTACTATGTCCCAGACACTATGCTTAAGAGTTAATAAATGTTTGTTGACTCTAATCCTAAATGCTGGGACTACAAAGACAAAAGAAAAATAGGGCTGGACCACAAGGGGCTTATAAGGAAGAAAATACATGTGTAAAGTAGACACAGATTATATACAAAATAAATGCAAAATAATTTTTGGAGGCATGGTACCAGCAGCTGGGGAAATCATGAAAGACTTCTGAGAGGTAGAGCTTTATCAGAGCCTTGAAGGAAATACAGGCTTCCCAGACCTGGAGGTGAGGAGAGAGTTCATTCCAGGCATGGAGACAGCAATGAAAAGTCACAAAAATAGAGGATGTTGCTTTGTGAGTACAAACCAGTCAACAAGTCCACGTGGCTGGTGGGAAGGCGGGGAGGAAGAAGTAGTACTGTGTTAGAAAACTGAAAAGACAGGAAGGACCTCTGCTATAAAGGGATTTAAATTACAAGAAATGAGCTTATATTTGATTGTACAGGTAACAGGGAGTCACTGGAGTTTACTGAGTATGGGGAGGTGACTTAGACCAGCAATTTAAGAAAATGCTTCTGTGGTTAAGGAAAGAACGGAATGAAGCAATGGGCTAAGACAAGGAGTTCAATTAAGAAACTTAACAGTCTAGGAGAGAAGCAATGGCAGTCTAAACTAAGGCACTGGCTATGTAAGTAGAGAAAAGGGGGTATGTCTGGCTAAGATATTATGGAGATAGAAATGACAGGACATGGCAACTGAGTGGATGTGTGGGATGAATAAAATGGAGGAGTCAAGAATATAACACTTAAGGTTGTGAACTTGGGTGATGAGAAAAATGGTGGTACTCTTGATAGTAACAGGGAAGTTTGGAAGAGGGTTGTGTTTGTGGAGTAAAGATGAGTTCTGTTTTAGCTATGTTGAGTTTGAGGTACTCATAGGACAACCAGTTCAAAATGTCCAATAAGTAGCTGGTGATCCAGGGCTAGAGCTCAGGAGTGAGAGAGAAACTATGCCTTGATAGATAAATATGGGTATCACCTGCATAACGATGATAGTTAAACCTATGAGGAGTAATGAAGCTACCAAGTGAAAGTGTCAAGAAACAACAGAAAAGGTCCCAGGACAATACACTGGGGTACACTCATAATTGGTGGACATGACACAGATGATGATCCAACAAAGGAACCTGAGAAGAAGCAGTCAGACTGAGAGGAGAATCAGGCAAGATAAGTGTCATGAAATCCCAAAGAGATTATGCAAGAGGAGAAGATGGCTGACATAGTCAAATGCTGCAGAGATCAAAAAGAATGAGATTGGAACAGGTCATTAGATTTGACAAGAGATTTATGGCAATTTTAGAGAGATCAGTTTCAGTTGAGTGATGAAGTCAGAAGCTAGATTGCATAGGGTTTAGAAGAGTGCAATGAGAAAGGAGATAAAAGCATTCATAGAGTTTGGTTGAGAAAGAGAGGCTAGATAGTTGGACCTAGTGAGGTTTTTTTTTAATTTTTTTTGTTTTTTTTTTTAGGATAGGGGAAGATATATTTGTAGGCAGCAGAGAAGGATCTGACAGAAATGAAGAGGATGAAGATTGGGGTGTGGGGAATAAGTAGGGAGAGAGAGAAGGGTGGAGAGAGAGAAGAAGGGCAAAAGAGGAAGAAAGGGGGGTGGGTGGACAGTCTGCTGGAGAAGATACATACTCTACATTCCAGCCAAATTGGTCTTCTTGCTACTCCTCATACATCTCCTAAGTCTGTTCCTTTGCATAGGCTGTCCTCCATGCTAGAAACGCATTCCTCACCTATACCTTTTAAAATTCCTGGCTCCCTTCAAAGATTAGTCAGCTGCCACTTCCTACATAAGAGCCATCCTTATAGCCTATACTTAATAGTGCCCTTCCTCCTGGAAACTAAATTGCATATATTTTGTATTCACTATTCTGCTTACTCATAGCTCTTCTCCTAGTGAAATGTAAGCTCCTTAAAGTCCAGGATTGTTTCATTTTTCCCTTTGTATTTCCAGTGCCTAGCACACAGCATATGCATAATAAATATGTACTGATTAGTATTCATAATACTTTTTAGTATTACAAACTGCAGAGTTAGAACTAAAGGGCCATTAAAGGTTCTTTGGTCCAACCCTTTCCTGTTACAGATGAGAAAAATGAGGAATAGAGAGGCTGTGACCTTCCCAAGGTCACACAAGTAGAAAGTGATGGACACAAGATTTGTACCCAAGGCCTCTAACTACAAATTTAGTGCTCTTTCCACTGTACTAAAGTGTATCTCCATTATATTGGGAAAATCAGTCATAAAACATAAAAACTGAGAAGTTAGAAAGTTAAATGACAGATTATCTAATCTTACTAATTTGACTTTAAAATCTTAAATTGAATCATTGACCAAGCTGGTATTCCTCTTCATCAATGAAAAGTGGTATCTGAGTATTTAATACATAGAGGCAGATGGCTAGGATGCTAGAGTCAGGAAGACATGTGTTCAAATCCTGCCTCAGACCCTCAGCTTTGTGACCCTGGGTCACTTAACTACTCAGCCTCAATTTCTTCATCTACCAAATGGGGCTAATAATAGTACCTACCTCACAAGGATGTTATGAGGATCAAATTGGATTATACACGTAAAAATACTTTGTGAATCTCAAAGCACTACATAAATGCTGTTATTATTATTAATTCTATTCTTTAGTCAAGGAGGCTACCACATTTCTGCACTTTTTTTTTACAACTGAAAAAGACTCAGTTCTCTCTGTCACTAAAATGGAATCATAAATGTTAGTGATGTTATACATGCAAAGACATTTAAGTCTCAAGTCTGTAAAATTTTTCAGAAATTTCCAATTTGATCTCAATTTCTGGAGACATAAATGTACAATTTCTATATTAACCACATCCATAACCAAAGTCAGTTGACCTGCCAGAAATCAGTCAAGGATGGTCTTGATCTAAGCTTCAGTCTCAGAAATGAAAAATCTAGAAAAGATAACATGACAATGGAAGAAATATTAAAGTATATAATTATAATTAAAATGCTCTAGGGGCAGGCAGGTGGCGTAGAGAATAGAGCTCTGGCCTTGGAGTTGGAAGGACCTGAGTTCAAATCCAGCCTCAGCCACTTAACACTTAACAAGCTGTGTGACCTTGGGCAAGTCACTCACCCCAACCACCTCACCAAAAAAAAAACTTCTAGTACAACAAGCATTTCTAATCTACTTGTGTTCTCTTGTGTAATTAGCTGGGGCACTCTTCTGAGTGATCATGAATTTCATTAAGGAGCTTATATAATGTTTCTTGCCTTAACTCAACTGTCACAATGGCATCCTAGATATTCCAGAAGATGCTATAAGAACCCTTAATAAAACTTAATAAAACACATTCAATTCATTTCAGGGTACAAATTCCTTAATACTGTATGTACATACCTGATGCAGAATGCTGTGCTGTATATGTACAGATTCCATAAATGGAAAAGCAACAAATAAGATCAGGAATAGAGAAAGCCAATGAATCAAGGACTGCCTAGGTACTCCAGTTAAAATTGCTCTCAATACTTAATTGTCCATTGACAAAATACGTGTGAGAGAACAACTGGGAGAAGAAAAGTCTTTCAAGTAGCAGGGAAAAGGAGACAGAAGAAGAATCTGGGAACTGAATGAGAGAAACATTGAGTCTGGAGAGGGAATCTAGTACCAAAGTTCAATTTTCAAAGAAAAAACATCACATAGTCCACAAAAAGTACTTAGATTTCACAGAGTAGAAATAAAAATCTTCACGTATATGAAAACTATTTTTCTAAGGCCAGAAGTGTTAGAAAAACTATTTTCCTCTTTAAAAATTAATACTCTACTTGCTACTCATTGGTAGTGCCTTTCAAACTTTTGGTGAGTAACTTGGATCATGCAGTTTTCTCTATGGCCAAGCCATACCAAATGAAGTATTTCTCTACCCTTAATATCCCAAGCTAGAAAGAACTAAACCTTCGTACCCCAAAAGGCAGAAATCTCAAGTAGCATCAAGTAAGCAACCCCATACAGGTGAAAGGTTCAGCTTTCTCTTTAATATCTAAAATTGCCTTATTCTAATTGTACAGACAGAAAATTAGTGACCTGTGATGGCACTGTAAAATGGTTCAACATGAGAAATTGATATTTTATCTGTGGAAATGGCATTAAATCAGCGTGAACAACTTTTTCATCTGACTTACAGTGGAAACCTTCCCTATGTGTTGTCTCTCCTTTTAGAATGTGAGCTTTCTAACAGCAGGTTTACTTTTCAATTTGTTCCCACAGTGCTTTGTACATTGCTGTTATTGTAATGTCCAACTTCTTAATCTACCATGTGGGGTTTTCTTGGCATAGATACTGGATGGTTTGCCATTCTCTTCTCCAGCTCATTTTACAGATGAGGAAACTAAGGCAAACGGGGTTAAGTGACTTGCCCAGGATCATACAACTAATGTCTGAAGCCAGATTTGAACTGAAGATGAGTCTTCCTGACTCCAGGCTCAGCAGTCCATCCACTGAGCCACCTAGCTGTCCCAAATTGTACAACAGTAAGCATTTAATAAGTGCTTCATTCATTCATTCTAAGACCTCTTCCAAGTCTAAAACTATGATCCTATGAATCCTTCCTAATCACTGTTCTAATTACCCTATAAACACTGTATTTCTTGTGTTGTCTTAGTTGTCTTTTAGACTGTTCAGTTTTTACATAGAACTCCACAGGAATCAGATGCCAATCTCAGAGATGGGGCTATATAGCTGCAAGTCATCGAACCCTACACACTCCTAAGGTCTGACAATGTGTCAATGTGTCACCACCAATAAGCTGGTGAGGTTCACATGAGAAGAGGATATGAACAGGTTGTATCACATTATAAACAAGTAATTTCTCAGAATCAGAATAGGAGATACCCATTGAAAAACAAGACAATCCATCGCTCAGGGCATTCTTTCTAGCTGTCTCTCAAGCCTTGAACTCCTCTGCTCTGCCTATTGACCTCCCTAGTTTAAGTACCAACTAAAATCACACCTCCTACAGAAAGCCTTTCCCCAACCCTCTTAATTCCAGTCTGTGCCCTCTGTTAATCATCTCCTATTTATCTTACATACAGCCTGCTCTGTATATATTTGTTTGTACCTTCTCCCCGATGTCAGGGGCTGTGTTTGGCCTGTTTTTGTAATCGCAATTCTCAGCACTGAGCCTGGCACATAGTTGGCCCTTAACAATTTTTTTTAAGTAATAAGTACTTTGACCTCAGAGTTGTAATTAAAGAATAGTATGCATACTATGTTGCACAATACTTAAAACAAAAATGTTGTTTAATGAATTTCGTTGAAGGCAGGATGAGAAGTACCACTGTCTTTCGGTATCTACAGCGTTTGGCACAGGGCCTGGCACATAGTAGGTGCTTAAAAACACTGACTGATTGTGGTGAGGGCGGGATGAGAAGTGGCCCAGAATGGTAAATCCCGTGACGAAGAGACCGGAAGGGGAGGCCATCCGACACAGAACCCGATCCACCCGGGCACCCGCCCCAGTAATAGCGGCTCCGGTGCTCCACGGCCCCCGACCCCGCGAGACAGGAAGCCGGCGGTCTCCCGCCCCTCCCCCACGGCCTCGAGACAGGAAGCGCCCCTCCCCCCCGCCGCCGGGATAAACAACACGGCCCAAGGTGGAGGGGGAAGGGAAGAGGATGACACCAAACCCAGAAAAGAACCCGCCCCATCCCCTCTCCACGTTTCCCAATCAAGGAGAAAAGCAATGGAGGAAGACGCGGCAAGTCTTCACCTCCTTTACCTCATTCACCCGATACTCACCTCAAGCAGTCTGGCCAAGCAAGCTGCAGAGCTAAGCGAGCAGTTTTCTCACGCCCTCTAATTAGGAACAAGAGTTGCGTCTCCGACCTGGACTGCGTTCCGTGGAACACCTTCCCCTCCTCTTCCCGCTCCCGCGTCCTCAGGCCGGAGAGGCACTTCCGGTCGGCGGGGTGGGCGCGCGCGCGCCCATTTTCGCAGCCACTGCCGCTGTCGCCGCGGTCCCCGGGGTTGTGTCCTCCCCACCGCCCGGTGTGTGCGCGAGCTCCCTGCCGAGCGACCCCCGGAAGGCCTGACCCTCCCCCCACCTACACCCACATCCCGCGAGGAAGGGCTTGACGCCCCCCCCTTCAATCTACCCCTCCTCCCAACCCCAGCCAGGGCGGCCTCGGCACGAGCAGCGAGGGCGGCCCGACGCCGCCGGCGCGTGTCGGGGGCCCGAGCCCGGAGGGGTCCCCGAGGCCAAGCGCTGCGGGCACCGGAGCGAGATGCTGTGCGGGAAGTGGAGTCTCGTGGCGGAAATGGTCCTGTTCATCGAAGACCTGGAGGAAGATTTAAAAATCCTCTGCCTCTGCTCCAGGGCGTTTGTGGAGTAAGTAGAAGCGTGTTTTTCCTATGCCAAAAAGATGTGGCTGATGCAGACGGAGCCCTGCGGGGTCCCGAGGTCGGGCCAAAGCAGCCTTGGAGGCTGATGTGAGAAATGACCACTTTTTAAGCTTCGAGAATTCTCGCACCCGCAGCCACATTAAGCCTTCCCTGAGGCAGCCGCTCTCTCCAAGCTGCTCCCCGGGACAATGTTTTTTAATATTCTGTGGATGACCGAAATTAACCTATGGAGCTTTAAAACGTAATAGCTTAAAAGTGATGCCTTTGAACGGATACTATTGTTCTGCCGTGTCCTACTCTTTGTGACCCCATTTGAGGTTTTCTTGGCAAAGACACTGAAGTGCTTTGCCATTACCTTCTCCAGCTCATTTTACAGATGAGGAAACTGAGGCAAACAGGGTGAAGTTACTTACACAGCTAGAAAGCGTCTGAATCTGGATTCAAACTCGGCTCTTCCTAACTCCAGTCCTGACACTTTCCAACTGCCGTAGGAAAACGCAAACACACTATGAAATTGCTCTGGTGTTTGGTACATCACAAATAGATGTAGTTTAGCATTTAGCAGTGGCAGTGATGTCGTGCCTATAAGGGAGAACATGAATTATTTTTTCAACTTGGAGATTTAAAAAATTGTTTTAATGCTAGACCTTTCAATGTGTGTGTTTTAGATTGAGATATTTTAAGGTTTAAAAGATATCTAATAAAGATTATAAGAAGTGTTTATGTGGGTCTGTCAGTAATTTTTATGGAGGAGAAAACATGATACAGTAGAACATTTGGTTTCTGGGTTTCTAACCTTGCCTGGGCACTTAGAGGGCAGGGTAATTCTTTTGCTCCTCCTTAATCAATTACTCTGTTCCCCACAGAGACTGTTCCAAATCTTTCCTTCTCTCCTGTGGCTTCCCATACCTTCCATTTTCCTTACCCTCTCAACTGAGAACCTGGGACTCTTTACTTCGATAAATAATGTAATAAATACTAGAAGATTAGGATGAGCCCAAATTGTGAAGGGCTTTAGAAATTGAACTGGAATTTTAATTTTATCCTAAAGTCAGTAGGGAACTAGGGACTTTTGATTGAATATAGGAATGACGTGGTCAGATAGGTGCTTAAGGAAAATCTTGAACAGAGAAGAAACCTGGGGCAGGAACACCAATTAAGAAGCCTTTAAAAGTCCAGGAGAGAGATGACAACAGTCTGAACTTAAAGTGGTGGCTGTGTGAGTACATCTTTGGTACACCTAGATGTCTAATGGATAGAGTGCCAGGCCTGTGGTTGGGAAGACTTATGTTCCTGAGTGCAAATCTGGCCTCAGACCCTTACTAGCTATGTGATCCTGGGCAAGTCACTTCATCCTGTTTATCTCAGTTTCCTCAACTGTAAAATGAGGTACAGGCTCACTCCAGTATCTTTGGCAAGAAAACCCCAAATAGGATCATGAAGAGTCAGACACAACTGAACACACCTTCATCTTACCTTTTCTTCATTTCAAAACCTCTTTACTATCATCTCTACTTTCTCCTTTACTGCAGTCTTTAAAAGTCTTTTAGCCAACACCAGCCTCTCTGCATATGCCCTTCATCCTACCCCCCTCCCATCTTCTCCAGCAGATTGTTCAATCCTTTCCTCCCTTCTCCCAACCTCTTATCTCCTTATCTACTGATTTCTTCCCTTAGTGCCTTTAAACAAGAACAAATCTCTCATCCTTTAAAAAAAAAAACCTTCCTTAGATTCTTCAGCCCCTCCGGTAATAGTCCCAGTCCTATATCTGTTCATCTTTTCTCAGCCATTCTTCTAGGAAAAGCCGTCTATACTCGTTGCATCTTCTTGATCCCTCTCCTGACTTTCTTCAATCCTTTACAGTTTGGCTTCCAACCTCAACTAATATCTCTCCACACTTACCAATATTCTCATATTCTCATTCATATTCTCTCTCTCTCTCTCTCTCTCTCTCTCTCTCTCTCTCTCTCTCTCTCTCTCTCTCTCTCTCTCTTCTCTCTCTCTCTCTCTCTCTCTCTCTCCTTGGTGAGGCAGTCAGGGTTAAGTGACTTGGCCAGGGTCACACAGCTAGTAAGTGTCAGGTGTCTGAGGTCAGATTTGAACTCCGGTCCTTCTGACTCCAGGGCCAGAGCTCTACCCACTGTGCCACCTAGCTGTCCGCCAATGATCTCTTCATTGCTGAATCTGATATTATTTTCTCAGTCCTCATCCTTCTTGACTGCTCTGTAGCATCTGCCATTCAGCCTCAGTGATCTGTTCTTTTGTCTTCTCTAGGTTTTTGTGACACTACTCTCTCCCAGTGCTTCTTCCTGTCTGACTTTCCTCAGTCTCTGCTAGAAAATCATCTATACCTCAAGACTCTGTTGGCTCCTCTTTTCTTCATATTTCCTTTCTTGATCATCTCATCAACTCCTGTAGATTTAATTATTCTCTCTGTAGGCGACTCCAGATCTATATATCCAGCTTTAGTCTCTGTCCTGAGCTCCAGTTATGAATCACCAGCTCACACTTAAAATGGGATGTACTGGACATATTTTAAAACAGAACTCATCTTTCTCCCTAAAATCCTTTCCTTTTCTGTACTTCTCTATTTGTATCACCATTCTTCCAGGCTCCCAGGTAGCATAATCTCATTGTTACCCTTGATTCTTTACTTTGTTTCACTCCATAGATATAATCAGATGTCAAATCTTGCCTTTTCTACCTCCACACATCTCAGGTCTGTTCCCTTCTCACTACTCACACAGCCACTGCTTTAAGTTCAGGCTGTCATCATCTCTTTCCTGGACTTTTAAAGGCCTCTTTGTTGGTCTTCCTGTCTCAAGTTCTTCTCCGTTTGTGATTTTCCTTAAGTACCTATCTGACCATGTCACTCCTATATTCAATCAAAAGTCATTGGTTCCCCTACTGACTTTAGGATAAAATAAAAATTCCAGTTCAGTTTCTAAAGCCCTTCACAATTTGACCTCATCCTAATTTTCCAGCTTTATTACATTATTCCTTTTCCCACATTCTACAGTCCAGCAATATGAGGCACTCCATGTCTAAGCTCTTTGACTGGAAAGCATTACTTCAGTAGCTTGTGTTCCACTTGATAGTGCACTAGCCCTGGAGTCAGGAAGACCAGAGTTCAAATCTTATCTTAGACACCTACTAACTGTATGACTCTGTGCAAGTCTGTCTCAGTTTTCTTAATTGTAAAATAGGGAGAGTAATAGCATCAACCTCTCAGGATTGTTGGGAAGGTCAAATAAAATAACATTTGTAAAGTTCTTACCACAGTGCTTGGTATGTAAGTAGGTATTGTATAAATTCTAGCTGTTATTCCCTACTTTCCTCTGTTTCATAGAATATTCCACTTCTTTCAAGACTTGACTCGAAAGACCCTTTTGATTTCCACCCCTCCCTCCCTATCCAATGTTTTACTAGGCAGCTAACTAGTGCAGTAGTGCAGTTAATAGAACTTGGGAGACCTGAGTTCAAGTCCTACTTCAGACATTTAACTAGCTTTGTGATCCTGTGTATGTCACTTAACCTGTCATAGCCTCAGTTTCCTCATTTGTAACATGGGGATGATGATAGCATTAATTTCACAGGATAGTTGTGAGGATCAAAATGTAGAGTTCACTGTAAACCTGTTATATAAATGTTGGCTATTTAACTACTTTGTATTTCTTTTCAATTCCTTATATGTCTGCAGAAGTACATGTTATCTCTTCTTGACAGCAAGCGCTTTTATTTTTTGTCTCTGTATCCCTAAGACAGTGATTGCCACTTGTAGGTACTTAATAAATTTGCTTGTTGATTAATTGCGTTAGGAGTAAAATGATGTGGATTTAAATTTTGTCTTTGCCACTGGAACAGACTGTAGGCAGGTGTCTGGGCTTCAGTTCCTTATTTGTACAATACAGAGATTTGCATTAGACTTCAGTTCTAAATCTTAATCCAGTTTAAAAGAAAAGGAAACAAATTCCCAGAAGTCGTATACAAAGGATCTAATTTTGTCTCAGATCACCACCTATGATTTAGTAACTAGGTCTTAATGAGTTCCTTGAGGCTCATTGTGGCTAAATGATTTGCTTGAAGTAACAGAGCTAGCAATAAGTATCAGAGAAAGGCTTTGAACACAAGCCTCCCTGATTCTACTCTGTCCATTGGGCAATACTGCATCTATATCTCAAATCATACATCCAGATAAACGGCTAATAACTCTTTCAAAGAATTCGTGGCAACAAATGTTTATTAAATACCTTCTATGTGTGCACCTGATATTGTCTAAGTCCCCATTCTCGGCAGTACTTCTATTCTTCTGGGAAAGTTAATTATTTTCTAAATTTAGCATTCTTTATAGAATCAAGCAAACTAGAAAATTATCAGTTTTTGAAAAGGTGATAATCTCTTCCCCTCACTGGGAATGCAGATTTCACCACATAGAATTTTATCAGTTTCATTTTCTGAGCTATCATTGTCAACAGTTTCTGCTTCATTTGATGCTTTGTCTTTATTGTAAACAATGTTGACTTTGTTCAAAACATTTATTACAACTTTTCTTTAGGAATTGCCTTTAGAGTCTGTGACAACATCTTTTTGAGTATTCTGGGGGTGGCAATTCTTTGCTCTTTTGATTCAGCAAACTTTGGCAGGAGATGGAAAGTCCTATAAGAGAAAACATAAAGTAGTTCATTTTGTCTGGAGAGTAGAGTGGCTGAGGGGAAGTAATATATAAGGAAAGATCAAGTTGGAACCAGATTCTGAAATGCTTTAATTGACCAACATAGGAATGTGTATTTTATGCTAAAGGTAGTAGGAACCACTGAAGATTATTTGAACATGAAAATGATATGGTTAAATCTGTAATTTCAAAATATCAATTTGGCAGCTGTGTAGACAATGGCCTGGAGAAGATAAAAATTAGGAAAGGGGAGGTCACTTAGACCATATGCAAAGTGATGTATCAGTTGGAATATGTGGAAGACCTTTACCAGGTGATACAGCCTTCTGCCGATAAGTATAAGCAAAATCTTTTTTCTTTCAATGTCCAATTTCTTCATTTAAGCTACTTGCAGAAAAAGAAAACATTGTTTCTGTGCAAGGATTGTTAAAGCCATATTACTTTCATGATCTGAATCTTTTATTTAAATGACCTCAGTCACACTGACAAAAATTTCACAAAGATTTTCTAATCATTCATCCTCTTTTCTGAACTTTGTCAAAATTTAGTGGCTAGATGTTTGTGCTATAGACAAGTCCTATATAAGTCTTATGAACTTGGTAAAGATGGATCCTAATGTTCAATTTTGAAAAGTTGGGCAAGAAAATAAACTAGAACTTAATTCTATTCTGGTTTATGTGTAAAAGATTCATAAAAGTTCCAAAAGTCATTACATGAATGTATTGTCTCAGGCATTACATAATTAATGGATAAAATAATCATTTTAGAAGTTCATCTACTACTACCTGTGTGTTGCCTTGGACAAACCACTTCACTTCCATGGGCTTTTAAGTTTCATCATCTGTGAAATTAAGGGGTTGGATTAAATGGCACCTGTGTCCCTTCCACCTCTAAATTTGCACTCCATTATCTACCCTGGATTATTTTCAAATACAATTTCTGTGTATAACTACTATAGCAAAACAAGTCCTTATTGAGTGGAGTAACTGCTAAGGGAAGAGGCACTTTAAAGTGGAATTAGCCTAAATTTTGTTAAGTTGAGGCTTACAAAAGTGATCTCAATATAAAACTGGACATTAAAATTGTGTTCATTACAACAGAATATCTGTAGTGAAGACTTCCGGTTTCTAACGCATTGTTGCTGTGCTATTTTTACCAGATTACCTGACTGCCAAGCTAGATTTTGAGTGAGATCTAAAGGAAAGCTGTAGTTGAATATTATATTATAAGTCTATGAGTATAAAAATCTGCTCTGCCCTGTGGGTGAATTGAGAACACAGTGGTTTTTCTAAGGATCTAAAGGATCATTGAGTTACAGCTAGAAGGTTCTTCCATGTCTAACTGCTTCATTTTACAATTTAGGAAACTGAGGCTCATAAAGGTTTAGTGGCATGTCCAGTCTTATGCAGGTGACCCTTGAGTCAAAACAAAGCCTTCAGAATACAAATCCATCCTTTATTCTACTGCACTTCTGATACTATTAAGACACTTCTGCAAAAATAAAATAATTTGCAGTTGGAACTGCCAGTCTGCAAACTGTCAATATTGGAGAGAAGAGGAAGAGGAAGAGACTTTAAAAGAAGAATAATCACAAAAATTTTTTATTGTTGATTTATGTGTTGATTTTTAAAAAACCATTTTGCTGAATTGTCAGGTGGTGAACATGTTCAACTAGTGTTTGAGACATTCAAAATATTTTATTTTGTCCAGACCTGTGATTTCTTTGTACTGTAAGGAACTCCTGGTAAGGAAACTCCCTCTACCTATGAAGAGCTATACTTCTACAATTTGTAATCTTTGAAAGTTGCCTGGAGGCATTAAGAGGTTACGTGACTTAAAGACTATTTAAAAAAAATTAACACCTTTTTTCCAACTTGTTACAAGTATTTTAATGATTGATTTCATCATATTTGGAGCAGTGAAACAAGTTATTTTCTCTATGTGGGGACCCTATCTGCTGTTTTATAGATGGTCTTTTTAAATGTTTGGTTTTTGTCTTTTTGTGCTTGTGCCATTTGAATGTTTGTTTCACCACTTAAAGCAGTTTCCAAAACTCTTATTTTATTCATGTCTATAGGATAGTTAGAAGGGCTTTTTCCTTCACTCCTCTCCTCAGTTTATATTTAAAATTCCTGTTGGGGCCATCTCCAGTTGTCCTGATCTATATCTTGCCACTGGACCCAGATGACTCTGGAGGAAGTGAGGCTGGTGACTTTGCCTTCCCTCACTTAAATCCAGTTCACTTGCAAGTCATGACATCATCTTCCTGATGTCATAGTCCTCTTCAAGAATGAAGGACAAACCACAACCACACAATTAAAATTCCTGCTAAATTTTCTTACCAATAAATTTTTCATCTGTTCCTTTTTGCCTATCTTTTTTACCTTGTTTTCACTTTTTCTTAAACCCATCTGAACCTCCTATTTCTGCAGAGCATCAGCATTCTTCTAGTTGTCCAGGTTTATACTCCTCCTTGATAGGATACTCTCACATCCCATATACAATTAGTTGCCAGGTCTGGTAAATTCTTCCTCCTCTATCAGCATCAATGCCTTCCCTTCTCTTCACTCATACCACAACCACTCTAATTCAGGCCCTCATTAGTTCTCACCTAGCCTATTACAATAGTACCCTAATAGATTTTTATCCATCCAGTGTCTGTTCTGTGTTGTATACATAGAGCTGCCAGAGTGATAATGTTAAATCTGACCCTTTAATTGTCCTCATCAAGAAGCTTCAGTAGCTCCCTATTGACTCTTTAGCCCTTCACAATCTGGCTCCATCTTATCTTTTCAGATCTCCTGCTTGCTCTTTCTGTTACAGTGTGGATGATCCATTGTGATTTGCAAGTGGTCAAAAAGTGGCAAAGTAGGTCAGTGGAAGAAAATTGATAAGCAAGATTCAGTTACACTCAAACTCAGCAACCCAGTGTTCGTTCATTAAACTTGAGAATATAAACTACTTTTGGACTTTATATTTTATGGGAAAGGTTGGGGAAACTGGAAATCAGTTGAGGGAGAGGGGATATTAGGTGTAGACCAGCATTTTCTGCCATATATTCCATTAAGTTCCAAATTGATACTTGACTCTATAAAGGTCACATAATTTTTTTTGATTAGTGGAAAATGGAGAGAACTAAATTTCCCAACTATGGCTAGGGGAGACAATTCTTAGATAAGGGATAGAGGAAATCATACAAAGTAAAACAGGTAATTTTGATTAAATTTAGTTGAAAAGCTTTTGCATGAACAAAATCAGTGTTGCAGGTATTAAAAGGGAAACTGGGGGGTTAGAATCTTAGCCTCAAATTCATTTTGAAAGCAAGTATTTCTCTGGAATTATAATTTTATTTGTTTTTGTACAATAGCTAACATGGCTTTGTTTATCTTGTTTTACAGGGATCGAAAATTGTACTATTTAGGATTAAAAGGATTCTATGTTAAAGGCAGTGATACCAGTAATACAGGTATATACCTTTACTTTTTGCAAATTAACTGTAATTCAGTATTTTAATTCAAATTATATTAACACCTATCATGTGGTATTTTACTGTGAAAATGTACATTTTTCTGCAAATCAGCAAATGTTTTACACAATGACTTTACTGGAAAGTGTCCCAGAAACAAATGAATTATTTTTGGGTTTTGTTGTTGTTGTTGTTGCTTGTTTTTTTTTCTTAAAAACCACTGTGTAGGCTGCAGTTATCCTCTTTTGCCACTAGATGGGGTTTTTGGTAAAGCGAAATTACCACCTGGAAATTGGAATGAACATCCCAAATTAACAAATGAGTAGATTAATGCTATTGAAAATGAAATATGTAGGTGCTTTTTTTGGTGCTGAATTATGAACAGATTGACCACATGTGAGGTTGTAAAAAGTTGAATATACCAATATTACCTTTCAGGTTGATACTATTCTATAGTACATTCCTAGTTCATTAAATAAGGTAGTGTATAGATAAGCATAGGTATAGATATGTACATATGTCTGTACACATATGTAAATATGTATGTACGAGCTATATGTGAGGCATTGTGGATGGAGGCTCTTGGACTGAGGAAGACTTTAGTTCAGCTTTTCAGTAGAACCAAAGACTTCAGTATTTCAGCCTCAGATCCCTCTCTTAGGTACACCAGGGAGTTCCTACAGAGATAAAATCATAGATCAGAACACATATATATATATATATATATATATATATATATATATATATATATTCATTTTAATATATATGTATACATATATACATAGATATATATAGATAGATATATATATAAATAATTTGAATAGGGATTGTAGTCTGCTTCTATGGAGAATACATGTGAAAAAGTTGAAATTCTTTGTATAAACCATTAGAATAAGTTACCATGAATTGTTTGAAATAACTAGGCCATCAACTGGAATTATTGTAACAAAATTAAATCTGTGTAGAAGTACACCAGTTCCTGAAAACTACTTTTACATTCTCTTTCAATTTTCCATATTGGTATAATGTTTTTGTTTCTTTATAACATTTGTAGATCTTTCAATGCAATGAAACAATATCATCAAGCTTCAGAGGAGTCATGTTATATTTGTCTAGACTTAAACTAAATGAACTTGAAGACGAAATTGTTGACTCTGTCAATCATGTATTATACAGCCTATTAAGAGAGAGCATTGGACTAGAAGTCAGAGACCTCCCTTAGTTTTAATCTTGCTTCAGACACTTACCAGCTCTGTGACACTAAGCAAGTTGCTTAACTTTTCTCACCTTCTGTTTTCTGATCTATAAAATGGAGGTGATAGTAGTACCTGCCTCACAGGGTTGTTTTAACTATGAAAATAAATGTAAACCTCTGAAAACCTTAAAAAGCTTTGTAAATGTTAACTGTTATTAAATACATTTGATAGCCTATTGTTGTATCCTGACACTGTCATTACAACTGCTGATGTTGCCTGTGTTATCAGTATGTCAATTAATGTTTTTTTTTCTTATTAATTACATGTGGTGCCTTGGATCATTAATCATAAAAATAGCATTAAAATGTAGTGAGGTGTTTTGCAATAAATAGAAATTGGTTATTCCTAGAGATTTGAATAATTTAAATGACCTTAGAAATAATCTAGTCCAACACTCATTTTATACATAAGGAAGTTTATGCCCAAAAAGATTGCGACTTCCCCAAAGTGATACCAATAGTGGCAGAACCAAAATTAAAGCCTATATCCCCTGGCATCCAAAGTCACAGAACTATGTTCTTTCCACTCAATTATATTTTCAAGTTCTTATTTTCTCTAGATTTATTCATAAAAGCACATAATTCTCCTAGGAATGGAGTTGATAACGTCATAGCTTTAAAAAAAATTCTGTGAGCAAAATTCAGGTTGCCAGTATGCTCAAGTCACAGGCAGGGAATGTGACCTGGAAAGTAATCATATAAGTGCATGCGAGTAAGTGTTTATTTATTTTAACCATAAACTTTAAAAAAATCCTGTCTGTAGAACAAGCCACAGAAGAGGGGGAACATAATTCCCATGAGACCATAGAATTGGAGAATGGCAGTGCTTTGAGATCAGATGAAATTGAACTGGATTCAGAGGCTGAACTTATGAGAAGTATGGGACTACCCCTTCAGTTTGGAGGCCTGTCTACTCACAAGAATTTTGAGGTAAATATTAGATTACTTATTTCCTTTACTTCTAGTCATAAGCCATGAGGCGCAAAATATACAAGATTAGTGAATTTTCTCCCCAAGTCTTTTTAGCTCAGTCAATAAACATTTATTAAGTGCCTACTGTGTGCCAGGCACTCTCTCTAAGCCCAAAAAAAGACAAAAGACAATCCCTACCCTCAAAGAACTTATAACTTAATGGAGAAGACAGCACAGAAAAGGAAGCTGGGGTACCGAGAGATGGGGGCATGATGAAGAAGTCCAGAGAAATTAAGCTGAATTGGAAATGAAGAAATAGTTGTCCCTTCTTAGAGGCGGGTTCTGAGAGGAACTCACTAATCAGAGGCAGAGCATAGGAGCAGAGGGTAGTGATGAAGTGTAAGTACCGGGGCTGAAATAATCTTCTGGGATAAAAAGGATATTTTACTTATTTTTCTTAGAAGGTTCGTAGTTTTATGTAAATTAAGCCTGTAAGTAATTAAAATTATTCTTTTAAAATATAGAATGTCTCATTTATGCTTTCTAAAAAGAAACATGTTAAAATTGTCATAGTGAAATTGACGTTTTCACTGATATTTAGGTGTCCATGAATTCCAGAAATAAAAAAACTAAATTTAAAAAGAAAAAGAAAAAATCTCAAAAGAAATGCTCAGATGAAATTCTGCAAGAATCATGGAAAGAGATTCATGAAGGTGATGATCACTTAATGTCAGATGATCCATCTTCAGCCTTTGAGCGATATGAGGAGACCAGAACATGTGAACTTCAAAATGGGAAAGAAGTAGAAACTGGAAAATTATCTACTGGGAATGTATTACCTCCCAAACTAGAAATTACAGAGAAATGGCAAAAGTATTGGAGTGAGTACGGAGAAGGATTGTTATGGCAGAGCTGGCAAGAAAAACACCCAGGTGAAATATTGTCTACTGAACCTTGGAATTCTCCTGAGACAAAGGAAGATGGGAACAACATTATAGTCATGTTTACTGGTATTATTTGGAACAGTTTCAATATTGGGAAAGTCAAGGGTGGACTTTTGATTGTTCACAAAGTTATGATACAGATAATTGTGTGTCTAAAATAGAAATGGATGAGAAAAATGATAGTAACATTACAAGGGGATCATTGTTGGACTTAGTTTCCGTGACTGGAAGTGAGGAGGAAATTTATGAAGAAAGTACAAATGATAAGCATCATGAGGAAATACTTGATGGAATTAGCAACATAAATCTGAATTCAGTGGAAGGAGAGAATGACTGCTTGAACTCGACTGTAATTTGTGGTGATTATCAGTGCCCGAGTGAGGTTAACAGTGAACAAGAGTGCACTCTTTCCAATGAATGTGAGCCATGTGATGGAGCAACCAAGAAAAGGAATTTGTCAGAAAATAGAAGTACCAACCAAGCAGGTCAGTGGATAATTAGCTGAAATATGGATTAGTCAAATGAACCCATGTAACACAAGAATTGACCATGAAAATATCATCATGTAGGTTAACAATGGTAACTAGTAATCTTAGTAACAATTTAATCTTTTTTAAAAAATTTCATTGTCATGTTATTCTTTCTTAAATGAAAACAAAGTTTGTATTGGTTTCCTGTTGCTACTTTCATGACCTTGAAGGTCCAGTTTACCTAGGAATTATGGAATTCACACATATCAGTATTATATCTCATGGTCAGGAGTCACAGTATAGAGACCTGACCCTGAAGTCTGAAAAACCTAGGTTGAATTACCAGTAATCTCTTACCAGCCAAATCTAATAGCCTTTTGTCAGTCATCCTTTACCTCACAGTAGCATATGACACTGAACAACTTCTCCAGGATACTGTTTCTTCTCTAGGTTTTTAGGATACTTCTCTCTCTTGGTTCTCCTACCTGTCTGACTGTTCCTTCTCAGTCTCCTTTGGTTAATCAATACTTCATCTATGTCACTGACACTTCACTGTGGCTGTCCCCTGACACTGCATTCTAGGTCCTCTTTTCATTGTATACAATCTCCCTTTGTGATCTCATCAGCCACTGTTGGATCAATTATCATCTCTATGCATGTGATTTCCAAATATGTATTTTGCCCTGCTCTTATTTCCAGAGCTCTCCAGTCCTGTATCAGCAACTGCCTTTTGGACTTCTCAAACTGATTATCCCATAAGCCGCCTCAAACTTAATGTAGCTAAAACAGAACTTAAAATCTTTCCCTCCAAATCCTTTATTCTTCCCTATTACTGTCAGGACTCCACCATCCTCCAGGCTCAAAATCTTGGTATCATCTTTGACTTCTCATCTCACTTATTCCACCTATTCAGTCCATTGCCAAATCTTTTTGTTTCTACTTTCATAACATTTCTTATATGCCCCCTTCTTTCCATTCACATAGCCACCACTGTAGTTCAGGTCCTTATAATCTCTCACCTGGACTGTTGCTTTGTAACTGATCTCCCTGCCTTTAGTCTCTTGTAGCATGTCTTCCACTCTGTTACCCAGGTGATTTTTCTAAAGCATAGGTCTGACCATGTCACCTTTGCTCAATGAGCTCCTGTAGCAACTGATTACCAGCGGAATCAAATATAAAGTCTTCTGTTTGGCGTTTAGTTTTTTATCACCTGACCCCTTCCTACCTTTTTGGTCTTCTTATACTTTCCATCTGTCCTGTATTTATCTTGTATATACCTAATTATTTTCATGTTATCTCCCTTATTAGAATGGAAGCTGCTTGAGGGCAGAGACTGGTGGTTGTGTTTGGTTTTTTTTTTTAAACTTTCTTTGTATCCACAGAATTTGGCGTAATACCTGGCATTTAGTAAGTGCTTATTATAAGTGCTTTTTTGACAGCCTTTGGCTTTGTGACTCAGGGAAAATCATCAGATAACTTTCTAAGATTGTAAGTTGCACAGTAGTTGCTGTTCTGATCTACTTTGGTAGAAGGAATTGTCTTATGAATTCCCTACACCAATGAAGTCATAAGTCCAAAAAAAATCTCAATATCTGGTCCATCCCACTGGGGCCATAGACAGACCTGACTAATTCCTGATGTCTGAAATGCTTGGGCTATGTTAATAAATAAGTGCATTAATATAGTCATCAGAAAGGGGAATTATTTACTGGAGCCACTTACCCAACAGTAGGGTATGTGCTTTGGGTTATTCATTGATACAGCCAACCACCAAAGGCAAACAGCAGGAAAATGTTTTAAAAGTCCCATCAGAATGTTTAACAAGTAGTTATTTGTTGGTTGAAATGCTAATTAATAGATGTAGTTGTGATTTTTTTTATCTTGTTGTTATAAAATGAAGTAAGCACTCGAATATTATTCAGCTTCCAGCAAATTATCATACCCTGGACCTATTATATACTCAGGTACATGACTTGGAAAATATGTTTGATATAATACTTTTACAAAGAGTAATTTTTTTTTTTCTGGTCACCATAATATCACAATACTTTAGCATTTCAGAAGATCCTTGATTTCATTAGTAACTGGTACTACTTTGACCAATGTAGTGATTACATACTTAAGTTGACAATCTTTGTGTTAAAAAAAAATTCATCACCTGGCGACCACACTTCTAGTGATGAGCTTGTCCAGAATTAGCTCACCCGACTCTTAGAGCAGTAAATGACAACCCTAAATAGCTCAGTTTGATGGGACTTGCAAGGGCTTATGCTTAGTTGGTGCAGCCTTTGAAACCCCTCCTTAGTAGGAGGAGCCATTCAAATTGGACTTTAGGGCAAAAAGATCTCAGTATAAAAATCTAATTTAAAAATGAATAATTATGAGTAACTGAGTTAAAATCCTAGCTCATCAACTTGTCTCTTGTATGACCTTGAGCAAGTCACTTTATGTCTGTGTGCCACAGGTATGAGGAAGTTGAATTAGGTGTCTTATAAGATCCTTTTCACTGCTCTCAATGTATGACCTGTTAACAATGCCCTAATCTAATACTAAATGTGATCCAGTCACTAAAAATTATTCAGAATAGAATAGTAATAGCTTTCATGTTCAGTGTTGTTTGTTATTGATAATAGGATTTTGATAATTCATAGAGGAAGAGAGAAGTCTTTTTGGAAGATCTTAAAAGAGTAGCCTCTTAATTCTTAACCATGAGAATTGATTTTGAAATACTTGCCACTGAAACAGCTTATAAACCATTTTATATCAGGAGAAATATTCTTGATTCAAGATGCTTATACATAAAACAAGTTAGCAGCCTCTTCACCTATGTATGAATGTTTCCTAAAGAGTTCATGATTACCCCTGGTACCATGGGCAAGATGAAGGAAACCTAGGAGGAATGGGAATAAGAAGAAATAAGTCAGAATAGGGGGAAGAGAGGAATGATATTTTTGTCATAAAGATAGAAATCATTGCCCACTCTTAGCTGATGACATCAGTAAGATAGAGAATTCCTAAAACGTCTGAAATCCCTGAGATCTAGCCTCAAGTGTTAAAGATAGATTAGTTTGGCATGTTTTTTAATACTATTTTGATGTATCAAGTTTTTTTGCTCCCTGACCCTGCTGCCAGTATGAACCCAGAGATGTTCACTCCTCTGACCTCTCCTTTTTGTGGTTCCCAGGCTGCCTGGCACTTGGCCAGCATTGAGTAGTGGGAGAACCTGGGCTCTCCTCCCACTTCTGCCCCTTCCTTCCTCTTTGTGTGACCATGGGCAAGTCACATCCCTTCTGTGAACCTTATTTTCCATCTGTAAAATGACAGTGTTTGTTTGACTTGAAGGCCACTGCCAGCTTAAACTGTTAACTTGAATATTTCTGAGAGTTCTTCCTGGTACTTACTAAAGACTTGTTGACTGATTAGTCAGTTTCTGAAGGAATTTACATCAGATCTGGAAATTCTAGACAGTCAACACCTCTTCCTCATTTCTCTTTCCCTTTGTAATGTAAAATTTCTCTCAATCGAAATCTACCGTCTTTAACTATCAATATAAGATTTATCATAGCCAGGTATTGCAGTGGATAAGGCACTGAGCCTACTGTTAGGGTGATCTGAGTTCAAATCCAATCTTAGATACTTGTTAGTTGGGTGACCTTAGGCAAGTCACTTAACTTCTGTGTGCCTCAGTTTCTTCATTTGTAAAATAAGGACAGTAATAGTATCTACTTCATAGAGTTGTTATAAGGTAATATTTGTAAAACACTTAGCATAGTCCCTGGTATATAGTAAGTTTCTAATAAACAATTCCCTCCTTCCTGATATTTTACATTAACATTGGCCTTCCTTAGTCATCTAGCATTCCAGTCTCCTCTCTTGTTTTGGTTAATAGGGGTCTGACCTGTGGTTTTACTAGTATAGAGCAGTGCTTTTTAAACTGGGTTGTGACCCCACATGGGGTCACGAAAAATTTGTCAACAGTAAAAGGTTTCTGAAGACACAAGGACCAAAAATTAATTCAAAATCAAATGGGTAATGAATGTGAGGTGTATCTGGCAGCCCTTGCACCTGTTACATTGTGCAGCCTTGGCTCTAAACACAAAGTATGTGCACTTTGCACTGTGCATGGCCAACAGAACACAAAAAGGGGTCACTTGAGTGGGAAAAGTTTAAGAAGCCCTGGTATAGAGAACTGTTGTGAGGAAATTCCTTCTACCACCATGGGTCAGTGCCTTCTCTGCAACTTACAATCTTAGGAAGTTGTCTGGGGTGCTGAAATGAAGCGACTTACAAGAAAGACGCTGAAATATTTAGATTGAGTTTGAAAATGACAGAAGAAGGGGAAGCTAGGTGGCACAGTGGATAGAGCACTGGCCCCTGGAGTCAGGAGGACCTGAGTTCAAATCCAGTCTCAGACACATAGCTCTCACTAGCTGTGTGACTCTGGGCAAGTCACTTAAGCCCAATTGCCTCAAAAGGAAAAAAAAAAGAATTGTTGGAACAAGATCTGAAAAATCTATCTTTGTCTAGATTCCCAGGAGACTTCTGGAACAAGTACAAACAAAGAAATGTCACACAGCAACAGTAAGGATGGAGATGAGAGTGAGGAGGAGCCGCCTGAATATAAACCAGCTAAACTGAAGAGGAGGTAAATCTTTTCACCAGAAAATATTTCCATAATAATTGTCAGTCAGAAAAACATTTAATAAATACAGCTGTGATCCTAGCACTTCACTTGTCCTTGTGGAGATTTTTAAAGTCATAATCCCTGTTTGAAAGAGCTTATATTGTCAGTAGGAAGATAAAATTTATCTTCTGAAAGGAACCTTAGAGAAAGTGAACTTTGTATTCTCTCATTTTAGAGATGGAGTATTATATTTTTAGTTATTGTTGGATAAAGTTCATAAAACTTAGTTTGGTTGAATCTACATATTTTACCTGTAAGGAACTAAAGTCCAGGGAGATTGTAATTTGGCCAAGGACATATATACTATTTCATGCTGGTCTGTATGGTGAAGAGTTCAAAGTTAATATAATTTATCCATTGAATGTTTTAAGTGCTATCCTCTAGAGTACCATTTTAAGTTCAAGGAGGGATACAAAACTTAGGTAACGCACAGTCTCTTTCACGAATCCTATAATCTAGTAGAGTGTTAAAACACACATAGAATTGTCTATAATATAAAATATTGTACAAACACATTACAGAAAGAATTACAAAATAGAAGCATCATGTAACTTTAATGGGGAAAAATGGGTATTAGAGGATCAGAAGAAAAGGCCTTGACAATGGAATTAGCAATTGAATTAGAGCTCTAAAATGTGGTGAAACAGCCAGAAAGTGGAGAGGATGGGAAGATGTTTGGGGCGTGGAGAATACCATGAGTAAAAAATGGGTGTTCTGTGTATTTTTGAGTGTCCAGATTTGTTGGAATGTATGTGGATTACTAAGATTATTCTGGCAGTATTATATAAAGAATTGGAGTGGAGGTGGAAGTATCAGTTAAGAAACATTTAATAGTGTGAAGTAGAGAGTGATGGTAAGGGAAAGAGATAGAAGTGAAGGGATAAAAGAAATTGTATCCACAAACTTACTGATTAGATATGCAAATTAATGATGGTATTATAGACAGTGAATTCCAAAGGGAATATAGAGTAATAAGATCAATTTCCTCACTGTACTTCACATAGCACTTCTTTTTGCATTACATTAATACAGTTCAATGCAGTGGATATAGAGCTAGTGTCGTTTAAGAAAGTTGGTATTCAAGTCCCATCTCTGACACACATTGCAGAAAATGTAATGATCTGCATTGGTAGAGGAAGTTCTAAATGTATTCAAAGCTACCTGTTTTGGTGTCCTAATGTCAAAAATTCATACCTATATAGCATTTTAAGTGTTATAAAACTCTTCTTTCTCAACCACTCTGTTAGATAAAAAATTAAAGTATAATCCCCAGGTTATAAGTGAGGAAACCGAGGCTCTGAGAGGCAAATCCACTTGTTTAGAATCACACAGCTAGTAAGTTTCTGAGGTGAGATTCAGACCCAGGAGTTCTGACTCAAAGTCCAGCACTCTGTCCATTGAACTACACTGTCTCCAAAGTAGCTATTAAACTATAAGTTTCTTGAATGCTTCTGGTGGTTGATGTTATCAAGATCCTAAATTTTAGGTAAGTTGGATTGTTATTTTTACTACTAGTTTTTCCTGCTTAGAGTCAATTTTTCCCCCTTGGCTTTTCCTCATATAGGTGCATAAATGTAGTTTTTGTGGTATTTTTTGTTGCTAAAATGCTTTTTATTTTTTTGAAAAAATGGACAAAAAAGTTGCTTTGAGGTATTATAAATGTTTCTTGGTGGTAACTTTTCCATTATAAAACCTGATGAAAGAAGAAACGCTGTATTCTCACTATAGCCTTTGTATATATCCAGATCTAAATATTTTAAGTGATTTGTAAAGTCCTAATAAGAGAACCATCTCCTTTTCCTGGTTATTTGAACTATAGTTGGTTATTATAGAAAAGCTATAAGTATATTGATTTATGTACGTTCTACTGTTGTGCTAGTTTACATTTATTATTTCAAACTGTTGAAAATAATGATGGTCTGTGGAGATAATGGAGCTTGTTGGTCAGTGTTAATGGAAACTGTTTCTCTTTTTGGATTTGTAGCCATGAACTAGATATTGATGAAAATCCAATTGTGGACTTTGATGACGATGGCTCTCTCTTGGGATTCCAGCATGGCTCAGGGCAAAAGTAATTTTTTATTCATGATTTTTGTATTCTGAATTTTAGAGTTTTCTATCCATATTTGATTGGTCAATATGAATTTTTTTTTTACATTTTAGACCTCGCAATTTAAACAAATAGTCCATTTAGTGAAAACTGCAATAGATCCGAGACGCTCTTCTCCTGAACAAGTTATAATTCTTTTCCTTGTGTAACCTTAACTTTATAAGATAATCTTAGGGATTATAATGAGAAAGGTATTAGTAAATTGAAGAATTCTCTTGACCTCAGATCCATTTGGCTAATACAGTATGAGAATGTAGACCCTTTTCTATATTAACATATTCTTGTATCCAGATAGGAACTCCCAGGTCGTTGAAGTGTTTTGCCAGTAACTCTTACCCCTTTTTGTGGCTCTATAGCAGCTGTGCTGAAAACGAATTACCTTAACACTATCATGAGCAGAGCTTAGACCCTCTTGGAATGGCCATTATAGGAAAAAGAAAACAAGAAAAAAGTAGGAAAAAGAAAACAAACTGTAGGCTTGTGCTTGAATAAAGTGATAATAACTATCATTTATATGATGCTTTGAGGGTACAAGTTTCTGTAGTGAAAACATTCTCTTTGACACAAGAATTCCATTATAGGGAATATATACTTTATCAACCTAATGACGAAGACTGAGATATTGGTGTAATACATATTGTAGGATGGGAAGAGCATTTGACTTGAGATTCAAAGGATTTGGTTTCAAGTCACAGCTCCTCAGTTTCTTAGCTGTGTGACCTTGGGCAAATCACTTACCTTTAGTAAGATTGAGGGAGTTGAATTAGATCATTTTTAAAGGTACTTTCTAGCTCATAACATTTTGTGGTTCTTTGAATATTTGTTTGGTCAGATATTTGACATAATTGACCTCTAGAGCTTCATATTGACAACTCTTCTATAGCTTCGTCTTTTGAGAGTTGCCTGTGAAAATTATGATGTCCTTAAGGAAGACATGAGAAATATGGAAATACATTGTTAAATTGTAAAGTATTATAAAGAAACAGATACAGAAGTTATAAGAGATTACAACTGTACAAAAATATATACACAATTATAGGGATAAGTGAGAAAAAAGTGGAAAAGGAATGCAAAGCAGTAGTAACTGACAAGTTATAGATATCTAATTAAAGTGTTTTAGTGTACATTGTAAATCTAAGTTTATTTAGTTAAGTTCATGATAAACTACTTAAAATTTAATATACTCAGTTGTACATTAAACATTTTTGAAGCATGTTCTGTGTGTCAGTCTTTGCTAGGCATTGCAAATACAAAGAGAAAAATCCAGTAGTACCCACCTTCAAGGATCTTATGTTCTGTAGGGGGAGCACAGCCTGTACAAAAATATAAACACAAAATAAATTCAAGTAATTTTGCATAAGAATTTAGTTATGGGCTTCATGTAAAGTGGTACTTGAGCAAAGCCTTGAAGGACTCTAAAGACTTTGTGATATGGAATGAGTAGGTAATGAATTCCAGGCACAGGATAAGGCCTGTGCAAAGACATATTGATGAGAGCTAGAATGTAAAATATATGTGAAAGAGAAAGGGGTACTTTCAGCCTGGAAAAGTAAGCTAGAACCAGATGAAGGATTTAAAAGTCAAAGGAGATTTTATTTTATTCTAGAGCCACTGTACCTTCTTCATTAGGTGAGTGACATGTAATATACCTTTGCCTGAGGAATATCAGTTTGGCAACCATATGTGGAGGGTGGGTGGGAGGGGAGGGGAGAGGGAGGGTTGAGTCCTTCTTCTACTGTGAGTCACTTCACTTCTTTGAGATCTCCTTTTTTTCCCTCATCTATGAAATGTGGGAATAGATCTCAGATATCATTGCCAGATTTCTGTAACTATAAATGTCCCAGTTTTCCATTTAATTTCATTATAGAACTACAGATTCATTTGTTCACTAAGTGTTTATTGGTCACTCACTATGTACGTAATTTCTGGGTGCTAAGGGAACTACAGAAGAAATCTAAGGCATTATCTCTGTCTCCTAGGAAACAACAGTAAAATTGGGAAGATAGTATATACACAAATAAAAGTTTTGAGTAGTATATGATTAGAGCCAGAATAAGCAAGAACAAGAAGTACTATTGGAATTTAAAAAAAAAAGACCCTGTGAAGAAATACCTAGACCTTAAAGGATGGATAAGATTTGGATAGACAGAAGGAAGAGAGAGACTGGCATTAAATGGGAGGTGAACACTATTCCTTCGAGTCTCAACTCAGATCTTACCTTCTGAGGTCTTTTTCCAGCTCTCCCCAGCTTAGTGCCTTCCTCTCTGGGATCGTCTCCCATCTACTCTGTCTCTCCCCATCCCTCTGTTTATTTCCTAGCTCTTTCTTGAATTTGTATGTACTTAAGTTATTTACATGTTATCTCCTCCATCAGATTATCAGCTCTCTGAGGCAGGATTGTTTTTACCTTTCTTTGTATAGACAGTGCTTAGCACAGTGCCTTGCACACAGTAGGTGATTAATAAATACTTTTAAACAAAGGTTTGGAGTACATCAGGAATGAAGTACAAACTAAAGTTGGCATTTAAAACCCACAGTCTGCCATCAGGATTTTTTTTCAGGCTCATGTCACATAACTTCTCTTTATATACTATTTCAGTTGAAGTGGCCCACTTGCATTCCATTTCCTTCTTCTGCGCCTTTGTAAAGGATGTCCCCCATGTTAGCAGCACAGTATTTCCTTACCTCTAGGTTTAGTTCTACAGGAAATTTTTCGTCACTACCCTAGTTATGAGTACTACAATAATGAAGACTAGTTATGAATACAGCTTCAAATTGTCATACACACACACACACACACACACACACACATTTGTGTTGTATTACCCAGTAAAGTATAAGCTATTCAAAGTTAGGGACTGTTTTTCCTTTTGTGTCTTTGTATCCACAGTGTCATCATTTCTTTTGGATTATTGGCATGCTTTATATCCTCTTTAGCATTCAGTTAAAATGCATATACATATGACATAAAATTTAACTACTTAGGGTCTAAGACCATTCTGTTGCTTTTTTATACATTTATCTTATGCCTCTACAAACATAGCAGCAAAATCATAAGAGACCTTCTAGTCCAACTTCATTTAATAAATGAGGAAACTGAAGCCTAGGAAAGTTAAATGACTTGCTCAAGATCATATAGGTAGTAAATGGCTAAGCTGGGAGGTAAAGCTGAGTCTTCCAACTCCAAAACTAGTACTCTTTGCACTGTATCTCAGGCAGTCCTTTTGGTGTAATTTGCTCATTCTGTCATGTCTTCAGTTGAGGAAAGTGCTAACCAATTTGTAAAAAGTAAAGCTTGATGATTAAGTGGATAGAACATTGGCCCTGGAGTCAGGAAGATCTGAGATCAAATCCAGCCTCAGACACTTACTAGCTGTGTGATCTTGGGCAAGTTACTTAACCTCTCTTTGACTACGAGACAGCTAGATGGTTCAGTAAAGTGTTGGGCCTGAAGTCAAGAGCCACCTGGTGGCCTCATACACTTGCTAGGTTTGTGACCCTGGGCAAATCACATAACCTCTGTTTGCCTTAATCCACTGGAGAAGAAAATGGCAAACCATTCTAGTATCTTTACTAGAACGTTAGGTTCCACAGAGGTCTCAAAGAGTCTGACACAACCAAACAACTGAACAACAACTATCCCAAACTAAATCAAATAGGAATGATTATTTCATTTTAGGAGAGGATTCGCAGCAGGATTTATTTTAAATAAAAGCTTTCTTTCATTTAATATTCATTTGTAGATCATTAATTCATTTACAGAGAAGTGAGAAAGTAGAGAAACCTATAGCTAAAGAGTTGGGAACCATGAGAAATTTTAGAAGTTAAAATATTAGTAGCTTAAACACTTTAGTGTTTATACACACATGTATGTTGCATGTGCACACATGTATATAGTATCCCAAAAGTCTTAAAGATTTTAATTTTTTGTTTTGTTTTGTTTTTGGCTAGGCAATGGGGTTAAGTGACTTGCCCAGGGTCACACAGCTAGTAAAGTGTTATATGTCTGAGGCCGGATTTGAACTCAAGTCCTCCTGAATCTAGGGCCGGTGCTCTTATCCACTGCGCTACCTAGCTGCCCCTAAAGATTTTAAACTGCACTTTTGGGACACTAGATGCTTATATATATGTATATGTGCACATGTGTACATAATGTGTGTGTATAATCTTAATCCCTGAGTGATAAAAACTGACACTCTGACTTTCATATTTATTGCTTGGCTAGTAAAGTAGCCAGAATTATACTCAGACCCAGGTCTTCTAACTCAAAATTGTGTTCATTCCATTGCCACATAATTTAGAAATATTTTAGATATAATATAACAGAATCTAAGGGGAAAATTATGTGTGCCCTGCCTTGTCCCTCCCTTCCTATGCCCCCAACCCCACCCCCCCAAAAAAAGAAAACTTGACTCCACATAATTTTTAGAGTGTATATGTTTGAAAAAAAAAAAAGATAAAGATGTAAAGACCTTAGAGGGGAAAATCATTAGTTCAGGAGGGTCTTGATACTGACAATTGTATGTAAGTTTTCAGAATTCTGTTAAAAATAATGGCTTCTAATAAGAGTTATGGTGAATTATTGGAAGGAATGATCACCTCTGTGCCAAGTTGTTATTTAGGAATTCAGAACAGCTACAAAATGGCAAGTAACTGAGAAAACAACCGAAAAGTAAAAGGAGAAGGGAATTAAAATCCTTGGGAAAAAGTCACTTCACAGAAAATGGAAAAAGAAATTAATAACTAAACAAAATATAGAAGTAGCACAACTTCAGTAAGATTTTACACCTTTACAAATAGAGGCAACAAAGCTAGAGGATAAAGCTCAGTAAGATAACTTAAAAATTCTTGAGTCTCCAAGAAAAATATGAAGAAACAAAATCTGAATGTATTTCAAGAAGTAGTACAATAAATTGTATTAGAAATGATAACAGAAGGCAAAATATAATTTCATAGAATCA